AGAAATCGGAAACGGTGTCCAGGACAAGTCATCTGTGGTGAATTGATGAGTAGCAGCACCTGGAGGTTCAGTGGGATCCCTCTGATCCCACCGTGGTTATCACTAGTGGAAGAAATGGACTCTGGAAGAGGCAGCCAACATTGATCCTTATGTACATATGTTAATTGTTACCTTTGCTAAAACATATGATGTTTCTAAAATTATTCCTAGCTCCAATGTTGCCTTTTTATGTTGTCATTTAACCTTTCCCTTAGTTTATTCATCCAGAAAATGGGATTACACACTTTAACAGTTTTATAATTGCTTTGACTGTTGGTATTCACCCAGAAGCAGGAATAATGATACTCAGATATTTAATTGTTTTGACACATTCATAGCTAATAAGTGAAACATCTGTGTTTCTGTCCGTTAAAAACTCGTTAGCCAGGTCAATGCTGGACCTTCTCCAGAGGGTATATTCCTGGCACTATTGGTTGGTCTAAGGATTCCCAGCCCTTCTTGATGAGAAGGGAACAATTTGGCATCACTTGCAGCATGTGTTCACTGTCTGATTAAGATACTTCCTGAACCTGTAGGATTTCTGCATCTGTTTTGAGAATGCAACTTGTCAGTATAACCAATTGCCTTGGCAAGGCAGACTTGAATGGACAAATGAGCATCCACCCACTGTAGAAGGTCTAGAGATAAAAACAGGCAAGTGGTTCTTCCTGCATGTCAGAACCATGTCAGACCACCACCATTCACACACACACACGCATTTCATATGTTTTTCCTTCTTTCCTTATTCTCTCTTCAATTAGAAGTAAAATGCCTTCCCAACTGGGTAACCTTTATCAACACTGCTGTGGGAGGGGGACAGTATGGATCCAGTTAGCAAGCTGTTTACTAAGAGAGTTCTGGGCTGTCGATGTTCTCTTTCGTATCCAGTTTTATCTGCCAGGCTTTTTTTTTAATCTGTGATAACCAGGATATGTGGAGCCAGCTTCAGTTCATCTTCTGTTGCTTGTGTTTATAGGGAGCCAGTGGTGCCTGTACACACTCCAGTTCAGCATCTGGAACTTGCCATTGAGCAGTTTCCATGAGGGCCTTGGCATCTCTTCTCCTCCTGGCATTGTAGGCTAAGGATGTGGTGTCTGGCCAACTTCTTTCCATGGAGCTTCCTTCATATCTTCCACCCTGTATTTTCCCTTTGTTTTAAAACTCCTACAGGTCCTGATTTAAGGCCAGTTTCTTCCACTAGTAAATATTGCTCCGGAACTGGCAAGAAGGATCGTTGTTGCAAGGAACACCCTTCCCAAGGGCCAGGCAAGCTTCCCCTCTAATTCTGCCCTCCCTTCCTGCTTTGGAGCTGAGACTCACTCAGGAAGTGAAATATATGTCTTAGGTGGCTTTATGAAGTTGTACCTTGCAGAAGCCTCATTGCAATCCCCTTTCTCCAGTCCTGGTAAATATTTATTAAGAACCTTGCAGTTTTGTACTGGGATGCTGGAAGCCTGCAAAACCACAAAAACTCAAACTATGCATTTCTTTTTCCAAAAAGAAATGGTGAGCTATCGACCATTAAGACTCTGAGAAGTAGATGGAAAATCTGCCTAAGATCAGCATTATCATCAAGACTTTTCCCCCCAACTACCAGACTTTCCTTATCTTCCAATACCCGGGGATGCCTAGAGCCTCTGTCTTAGGATAAATATTTTTCTGCCTTCCCTACCCTGTATTGTTCAAAGGTAAAAGGTTTTACCTTGAAATCCTAGTGTCATGCAGGTGTTCTAGGTTACTGCCCTGTATTTTGAAGCAGCTGCTTCCCAGAACCTACAAAACATCTTTTTGATGGGGGCATTTTCAGGACTTCTTGCTATAGCTGTTGTCAGCCCTGCTTTCTAATCCTCCTTAGGTTGGTTTCCTCCACCAAGGCTTATCCTAAACTTTCCCGCTTGTCTTCCTCTCAAGAAATCATCACTAGCCTCCTTGTCTACTTACTGTAGTTTCTGCCATCAGTTTTACTTTTTCCTGTTTATACTTGTACCATCCAATATCTCAGAACTCTTCCTTTTCTTTCCTGGAGAACATTCAGCATCTCTTATGTCAATGACACTGATTGTGTGGTTACCCGCTTTTGTTCACACACTTCTTGTCCTCCCATGCCATCCCCCAAAAAAGATGTGTTGCAATAGCCTTTCTCTCAAAAAGTGCTTCTTCCATTCCACTTCTTGTAGAGGTTATTTTGTAATTCTTTGCCACGTACCCAAAATAAAGAGGTTGAATTGTTATAGCCTCTTGAAGTGTCCCTATCTGAGGTTTTATGTTTCTGTAACTGAGATGGAACAGGTCACTGCTTTATGTGAATGAGCATGGTAACATTTGCACTATATCGTTTTGGTTTTGGTAACTTCTCTCTCCCCATCACAACCAGTTTATCTCATCCACCTGCTGTTGGGGCCCATCAACTTCTAGTGGCTTCTATTATCATGCAGCAGGCAGAGAGGTTCCAGGCTGACTAGACTGTAACTACTAACATTAGATAAATGACTCTAATAATAAGATGAATTAATGGTGCAGCTGGATTTTCTTTTCTGGCAACATTTAAGCTAAGCCTTAGCAGCTTAGCAGTGTGGGTGTATGCCACTTGGGATCTGATTTTTGAGCAGTGTCTGACATGGGTTCTTTATAAGAGTGGTGCTTGGAGAAATGTTTTTTGTATTAGTCTGAAAACTTAGAATTCGTACAGACTGATACCATATTCCACAGGTGGCTTAAAGGCATAGTACAAACAGTTCTTACCGTGAGGACCTTATGGCTTGAATAATAAGGATTAGAAAAGTACATAGAGGAGCAGAGAAGTAAAAGGACTTGCTTAAAGGGAAGCTTTAAAAGTCACTGTGAAACCGGGAACTGAACCTGAGTTTGCTGGTTCAGTTCAGGCTAGTGCTCAGTACATTGCACTATGCTAATTGATTGAGCCACACTTAGTTTAACATTTTCTTGTTCACATTATAGGGCTTCAGAAATACATTATGAAAGGGATGTTATAAAACACCCGTTCATTGTCCTATTTTATAGAGACTTCATAATGTTTTGCCTTTTGTTTTCAAATACAACATATTTTCAGTAGTAATATTTCAGATCCGGCTTTTCTGTCTGCTATTGCCCTTTGCCATATTCAGTTACCTCTTGGAACTTATTTTTAGTGACTTCATACGTTGCTCCAGCAACTGAACAACTGTTGTTTTAACAGCAGCCAAAAATCCTTAGTCAAACTACCCACATTCCCAGTTTCCTTCGTCATGGTTAACACTTTCAGAGCCAGCACCTTGATACGTTTCTCTAATGTCAGCATCGGCCTCTCTAGCACCTGCCTGTCAAGTCATTTGCTTGACACTCATGTCACCAGATGGGATGTTTGTCTCGGGAATGTTCTTTAGATACGTTGAAGGGATCTCATTCCAGCCAAGCTTCTCTTGGCCTGATAAAGCTTATCTTCAGTTTGAATTTGACTAATAAAATGAAGGTAAAGGTATTCATCCAAGCCTGGACCAAGTGGGAAAGTGAGCTGCCAACACATTAGGTAATTCTAACCTGGCTCTTCTTCTGAATCCAGGCAAATCCATAGTTGCAAAGAAGACTTTGTTTGCTGATGTAGCATTATCCTACAGAATCCCCATGTAGTCAGAAGCCAAAAGGAGTGTGAAATGTCCCAAGTGATCAGTCATGTAAAATAGGAAGTCTACAGTTGGCATTTAAAATGTCTGTGGTGTTCGTTTTGACAGAAATGCCCAGGAAACATGTTTACCCCACAGTCTTAAATTGCTTTCAGCTCCCCACTAGGGAGTTGGAAGCCTCAGCTATCATAATCCTCCAGCCTCACTCAGGACAACTTCTATGTCGTAGCTGTGTGTTATCAGCGCAAAACATCTGGCATTTCCAAAACTGGAGTCGAGGAAACAGTTATCTTGCAGGCAGAACTGAGCACGGTTTCTGTTCTGGTTATAGCAGTTGCATATTTAAAGAACTTGTCATGGAATTTCTGGTCTATTGCACCAAAAATGGTGCAGGTTGGGGGAAGAACATAGCTCTTACCCCTAGAAAAGTTCCCTTGAAGTACAGCTGAACATACTATATGTTGGGGAAAACAAGCATATGGACACCAGGAAAGAAGAATGCGCACAAAAAATTTAACCAAAATTTTGAGATTTGGGCCTATTGGATCACTGTATCTAAAAATTGTAGGAGCAAATAAGATACAAAAGGTAGATTCCAGTAGTATCTGCCATGTAGAAGTCAACAATTCGATTTTGCGTGGTACCTGAGAACGTACCTTTTTCCCCAAAGTGAAGGTAGGTAGGTGAGTGTCCTGCCCGTTTCTGAAGAGCTGCTGCTGAGCCAGCCTGACGTCTCGGTCACTCAACACAAGTGAGCCTTGACCAGGCAGCGCTGTGGCCGCGGTGGCTTCCTGGAACGACGGAGCTATTACGGAGGCACTGCAAGAAAAAATGAATGGAAGGCTGAAGAGCAGAGGGGGAAACAGAGATATCCAATAAAAACCCAAGCAGTTGCTATTACAAGGAATTTTCCTCATGGTTGGTTGTAAAATATGTTGCATAGATTTCAGCTCAAATGAGCACTGAGAATAGTGACTTTGGTGCAAGTGTTTTCCTCCAGCACAGGCCAGTGTGTTTGGCAACAGAAGTAATACTTTCCTCCCATGTTTATCTGAAAATATGATAGGGTAGAACTTGGGAATCCTGTAACAGGATTGTGTAACAATTCCCTAATATACTGTTTTGCAACAATGCGTTTTACTTTATTAATAGCAGAAAAGCCACTGACTTTCTTTGTTAAGATTTACTCATTTTTGCCTTTTCTTTATAAAAACCTCTCCGTGTGTTTTTCTAAAAGAACTTTCCTGAATCATTGTTAAGTTTTGTTTGGCTTTGTTTTCTCCTGACTGCCACAAGATCATGATTCTGGAAAAACTTGCTAGTATATATAGTTCCATAGCACAAATTCATGGACCTTGTCAGTGTCAGGAAGCAGCATATTGACAGATTTGGAATATTTTCTGTACTGTTTCTGTTGCTATAACCTACTGTAAGCTTATTATATTCTTTCCAAGACCTGAACCTGGAAAACTGAGTCTGAAAGGTGCTGAAGATTTCACACTCCCACTAATAAAAACAAGTGATAATAAAAGCACTCAGGATCAGTCCCAATTGCATAATTATTGTTTCAGTTTTAAGACTTACAAATCATGACTATTCTTCCCATTATTTTAATTGAATGCTTTTTATGTGTTTTGCAGAGCTTTGTTAGAAGGGGAATGCAACCCATGGGTTATTACATGGACAGAAGAGCATTTAAGGAAAATCCCTCAAGGTAAAAAATGAATATTAAAAGAGGAATATTAAATGAAATTGAATGTAACTGGAAACTGTTGTGCTGTAGCATTTCAGAAGCATACTTTTTTTTTTTTTTACCATTGTACTGCAATGTGGAAATAGAGTTGTTTTTGAGTTTTAGTATTTTTAAGTTAAGATAGTACTATATTGTATGACAGAAGTTTGGAAATCATGACTCGGGTGGAGAACATGAGTAAGGAGTGCCGTTTCATATCTCTTCTATTGCACGAACCTGGGGAAATCTTAGGAAAGCTTCAAGCCATATGGCAAGAGGTATTTAGTAGGAAACATAGTTAAAACCATGGCATTCATTGCCATAAGATGTTGTATTACAAATTTACATGGTTTAAAGAGGAAATTTAAGAGTAATGAAAGAAAGTTCAAAGACTTACTCAACATTAAGATACCGTTTTTGTCTTAGGAGCTGCCAATCTCTGGAGACTGTGAGAGTATACCAGGGAAGTATCGCTATTTACTTTCCCTGTTTTTATACTCTTCCATACTTATCTGTTGTTGGTCACTGTAATCAGGATACTAGATGAGATGGACCTTTGATCTGCCTGCTATAGTGATTCTCACTAGAATAGCATTAGGCTGGATAATATCCCTAAGTAAAGCAGTGCGTGATCTTAAAATCATCAGATTGTCACAGGTTGTAGCTCTGGGAGAAATCTGAAGGCTGAGTACTAATAAGTGAAACAGGGCTAGGGTCAGGGCTGAAGCACTAACTGCTGCTAAATTGTCAGCACTGACTTGGGCATAGTTTTGGTCTAGACCAGCAGTTCTTTTGCAAACAATGTTGAGGTGTCATCAGTGGTTACCAGACCAGAAAGCGCTCCACAAAGTCAGTGTAGGTATGGTCCTCTTTGAGGAGTAACAGATTAAAGTTGTGCAGTGCTAGTTGGTCTTGGAGTTAAGGAATGACTCCTGCTTCATGTGATTAACTTGTTTAGGTATAGCCTAAGAGATTCTTTGTTCCTCTCCTTTGTTTTATCTTGTGGCTATGAGGAGTTGTATTTTCCATTTCCAGCATATGGTGCTAGGTGTTTTTCACATCCAAGGTGCATTATTTCTCAGTAGGAACTAAGAAACTTTGGGCAACTTTGACTACAGAAGCAGAAAACCAAGCCTAGGACATTTAGCATACAATATTTAATAATAAGTTGTAAATGAAAGTGAATGTTAATAGAAATATGAAAGGTGTAATTCTTAAGTAAATACTGTAATAGCTAGCAGCTCACAATGGGTTAAAATTAGAAAATATTTGCCACTTAGTAAAAAGCTTTGCTTCTTGTTTTAATGTTTAATTAATGTTTAATTAACAGGTTTAATTATCATGTAAATCCTGCAGAAATACTTAACCAAAGCTGCACTGAAAATGAAGAGACATTGTTTCTTTCAAAATCTTAGTCTAAAGTAATATCTCTTAATTCCTTCTGTTCTTTATGTGAGTTACTGTATATTATTTTTAGATACAAGCCATTATTTTAACTTTTGCCCATCTATTTCTGTTTGCAGATGTTATAAACACATCATATAACTACACTGATGTTTATTCTACTTACCAAGAACGGAATAAAAATAAAGCTCTTCCAGCTATCAGAAGCACTGATACAAGACACAGAATACCAATGACAAATATTAGCAGCTCTGCGCTTTATTCAGCTCAATCAACACACGCTGGATCACAGACAACAGGTATTGGGAGGTCTTTTGGAAGAGATGTGCTGAGTTCAACATATCGTCCGTCCACAACTGTTAAAAAGGATGAAAGGATTGTGACAGACCACAGAGAAACGAGAACATATACTCCAGCCTTCAGTAGCTGGAAAAACACTGAAATGCACCAAAAAAGATATCCAGAAACAAAGAAAACTGAAGTTACAACTTCATCCACAGTATCTTTTTCAAAAGAATCAGCACACACTGAAAAATCAAACAAGGACCACAAAGTCGATACAAGGCCAGGAACTGCTGAAAATATAAGGACAAAACCAAGCTTCACCAAATCATCGAAGTATGAAGAAACCATAACTGAAAGTCGGACCTCACTAAAAGAAGAACGAGGAGGCAGTAAACCAGCTGAAGAAAAAAAGATTCTCTTGAAAGAAGAAGACAAACTAGAAAAACATACAAAGGAAGAGAAAGATAGCAAACTGGAGAAAAAGAAAATGGACGAGAAACCTTTTATGGAAAACAGAAGTGTTAATTTTGGAAAGAGGACTGAGGATAAAACAGGGATAGAGCAGAAAAAATATGTTCATGAGGAAGTGATTAGCCAGAAGGTAACAGGGAGTGATATTCCTAATGCAAGAACTTTGAAAAGTGAATCAACCAGGAAAGATACAAATGTGACCTGGGAATCCAGAAACCAGGAAGCCACTGAGATGTCCATCGGTTCTGACAAAGTATCTCAAAGTAAGAAAGACATAAGGTTGCGAGGTTTTAAAACTTCTGTAGAAAGAGAGACAGATGAGCATGTAACTAAGTCTGCTGAAATGCACAAAGTGACTGTTTCAGAAGCAGAATCCAGTCTGAAAGATGAAGAGAGAATTAGTGACAGACTTAATAAAACAGGTTCTCTTTCAACAGAAAACATGGCAGAAAATATTGTTGCTGACATTCTGAAAAGTTTTACTCAGTCTTCTAGTTCAGAAGTATCATCGGACACAAAAGTGACTTACTTCAGTAAGAAAGAACAGCCAGATGATGGGAAAATAAAGACTGAGATCACAGTACAGTCTCAAGTTCAAGAAAACATAGACATTTCTGATCGGGTTGATCTTGAAGGTCTATCAAGCCAGGATATTAAAAAAGTGGTTTTAGAGGGTGTTGAAGGAATGCCTTCGAAAGAGGAGATAGAAGATATAGTACATCATGGCCTGAAAGGAAGTGAGAGTGGAAAGAATGTGTCTGTTAATGTTGAGATTGTAGAGGAGCCCCTAGATTATGTCACTGATGAAAGGACTGATTTTTCAACACCGTTTGAAGTAGAGGAAGTGGAAGATACATTCCCTGAAACAAAGAGGCATTATGGTGATGAGGAAGAACAAATCACAATGTCTACATATGACGATCTTAAAAAGAAGAAACAACGCCATGGGAGTTACACTCATGTGGAAGAAGTAACTGAGGAAGACGACTCACCTATTGAACAGAAATATTTTGTATCTGTTCCTGATGATCAGCCTGTTGTTCGTGAAAAAGGCGATGACTCACTATATGGCCAAATTCATATAGAAGAAGAATCAACTATTAAGTATTCCTGGCAAGATGAATTTATGCAAGGCACACAAGGCAAGAGAGATGAAGGTGCAAGATCTCCAGACGTAACATATCAGGTGGTAGGAGAGGAAGCAAGTGCCCGTATTTTAAAAGAAGAGCTTCCAAAAGCTGAAACAACCCGTGTTGAATCCGTTGTTATTGAAAAAGAAATTAAAATACCTCATGAATTTCAGACTTCAATAAAGGGTCTTTTATCAAAGGAAACTAAGGATCCTAAGCATCAACTGAAAGAAGCTTTGGGGCAGTTGGAGGGCAGTCTCCCAGAAAGTGTGAAAGAGGAACTGTCTGCATTAACAAAAGAAAATCAAGCTGACTCCAGTAGCTTAGAATTTGATATCAAGAAAGTTGATCAAACAGAGGACGGTGGCTCAGTGACTATTGTTGCTGAAGTCAATTTGTCACAGACCCTTGATACTGATCAGTTTGATGTAGCTCAACTTGATGAAGTAATTGCAGGTGAGAAGAAGGTACCATTCCATTCTTTGAAAAAAGAGAGATCAGAGAGAGTTGTTGATGGTAAAAGCAATATAGAAATAGATGTTTCTTCAGGCAGTGACAAATACACTCCTCTGGCTAATCAAGAAGTCTATAGCTCATCCACAGTGAGAAGGAGTGGTGGCACAGGCTATCATGCCACTGAACAAGTTATTTATGACGGTTCAGTTGTGGAAACTGCAAATTTTGGAGTCTCTCACTCACCAGAAACAACCGATAAGAGCAAATCTGTAAGGCAAATTAAGATCAGTCCAGCAGAAGTACAGACAGTTGAGCAGATTGTATATGAAAGGCCTGGTTCTGAAACTCTAGAGCTTAGGAGTTCAGAAGATGTTGTTCATAGAGAAGGATCATCGGAGATGAGCAGGTCTGTCAAGCATTTTAAATTAGGTCCTAAAGAAATCCAAACTACAGAAGAAATAATTTTTAGAGGCCCTATTACTACAACTGTAGAAGAATCTGGAAGTCTTTCTCAGCAGAAGTTTTCATCAGACTTTAACAGGTCCACAAGACGTGTCACGGTAGGATCAAGGCAAGTAACTGAAGAAGTTGCTTTTGAAGGGCCTGCTTCAGACTCTGCGGAGCTCAATAGTTCAGGGAGTCTTTCTCAGACAGAAGGGTCTGTGGATGTCAGTAGATCAGTAAGACACTTCAGATTAGGTCCAAAAGAGGTTCATACTGAGCAAGTTATCTTTGAGGGACCAATCTCTAGTAAAGCGGAACTTAGTGATATTGGAGACTTTTCCCAGACAGAAAGTTCAGTAAGGCACATCCAGTTAGGCCCCAAAGAGTTTATGACAACTGAACAGGTCGTCTACCAGGGGCCAGTTTCAGAGCATATAGAAATCAGTGAATCGGGAGACCAGATTCTTTCTGAAGGTTTGGTCAGGCACATTAGACGAGGTCAAAGGGGAGTTAAAACTACTGAAAAAATCATTTATCAGGGCTCCCTTTCTGAAACTTCAGAGCTCTTTAACAAAGGAGAACATCTTTCTGAGAATGAAGGAAGCTCAGATATTAATAGATCCTCGAGGCGCATTAAAATAAGTCCTGTAGAAACTCACACTGAGCAAGTGATCTTTAGAGAACCTATTTCTGAAACGCTGGAGGATCTTTCGCAAACACGAGAGTCATCTGAGAGCAGTAGATCGGTAAAGCACATTCAATTAGGATCCAAGGAAACATCTTTCACTTTCCAAATGGATGTTTCCAACATGGGTGGAGTGTCTACGGTGGCAAGTGGAGAACAAGCAACAGTTCTCGTATCCAATAAGCAAGACCCCACTGTTAGTCAGTCACAGGTTGCAGCTGAAAGTGAACAGGTTGTGAAAAACGAAACTAACAGAGGAGCTTATGTTTTCTCCAGTTTTTCCCATGATCGTGGTGAGAAGGTAGAGGAGAAATCCTCTTTTGATAAAACTGTACAGTTGCAAAGAATGGTAGACCAACGGTCAGTTATATCTGATGAAAAGAAAGTTGCCGTTGTCTATTTGGACCATGAGGAGGAAGAAGATGATGATAACGATGGACAGTGGTTCTAAAAGGACTTTTTGAAAGAAAACTATCTAGTAATTTGTTTATACAGATTCCTAATTGTCTTTTTTCTTAAAAGAAGAGAAAAAGCAGGTAGGGAGACACTTGTACTATTCAGGTACTAATAGTGGACTGAAGCATTGAATCTAAGCCCCTACCTATTCAGCACAGTTTTAATTTCATGAAAAAATATATCTTAGGAAGAAATAATGCTATCAATATTCTTTTCCTCAGAAACCTGTTTCTAGTAACTTCAGATTTTTTCTACCTTTAGAGACAGGAATTTTCTACTGGGGAATTCAAAAGATTGTATTTCTGTTTGTTTTATAGCAGGTTAATCAACAAGTATGTGTTTGAATAGGATTTTTTCATTAAAAATACTGTATTTAATAATTGTATTTAGATACTAAAATACTCAGCAGTTCTGTTTAAATCTCAAGCTACTAACCACAAACCTAACAGAATATAAGACTAATGAGAGTGGTAGGAATTGACTTTCAGTTCCGTGTCCATGTGCTTATGTGCAATACCTAATGCAAACATTTTAAGAAAAGATGCAGTTGTTATAGCTACTAAAAACTAAATACAACTCTTTAGGATGAAACCAAGCGAAGCAAGAATTGACAAAAAATATGCTTTTTATATAGTTGAAATGAAATATAAACAGAAAAGGTAACACTGAAGCACTGAAGAACATCTCACAATACTCATTGTGAGGAACAGTGATTCTGTGCTTGGAGAGTGGCACATTTAGAATATTTATAAAGAAGGCATGTTTAAAAAATAGACTAGATACTAGTTTCACTGAAGTAAACAGAAGAATTCTTTACAGCTTCATTGGCCATAATAAGATCAACCCCTCATTATTTTGGGATGTTGTGTTACCTTAATATTAGGTATTGCTAATGAAGTTAAGTGTGCAGTGTCAAACATGACATAATACGTAATTCCTTAACACAGAGGGGTTAGCTAATATGTGTTTTATTCTGAAAAAAAAGTCATCGATTGGTTCTATGTTCATTGTGTGTTAATTTCCAGATTATCTTTTCCTTGTGTACAAATGACAAGATGCCCTTTCCAATTACAAATTTATTTTCTTGTAACATTTTTCTCAGGCTAAATCTTCTTATATCATCTGAAAACCCCCTAATTACCCTTGTACTGCACAGGTGGCTCAGTGAAGACTGTAATTAGAGCTCTACAATTATTATAAGTCAGTGACTTCAAAGTCCAGATCGGAAGCCAGCTCCAATAACTGTGCTAAACTGTGCAGTGCTAGCAAAGGCAAAAATAGCAGCCAAAATCTATTCGTCACTGGGGTAAGAAGATACAATTCTGGAGGCATACAGGAAATCAGATACCCGAATGAGAAGCTGCTATTTTTACGCACCCTCACGCACTCACTGGCACTTGTCGGCAGAGCGGAGCCACACACTGTGCTGCAGTGGCCACCGGGTCACCTTTCACTCTGAATTTCTTTCCTGTGGTTACGTAAGCGTAGTTTTGTGTATGCTAACCCAAATTACAGTCCAGGTGAATCATTTTAGTCTGGCATGACTATGCACTTTTCAGTTTCCTTCATGAAGCTATATTTTTTTCAAAACTGACTCCTACTTTATAATGCAAAAGTAAATGCAAAGCTGTGATAATGTCTGCTGTTTGAGATATGGGGCAAATTAGTTTGTTGCTATGTGCCTTCGTTACCAAGCTCAAACCTGTACAAAGTATGTTAAAGCTGTTCTCAGTGTACTCAGAGTATTAAATATTGGTGTTAAGGCAGCAATCAGGTCTGCAATAAGCACCAGAGCAAGGTATGAGGTTTCTGAAAGTTTGGTTCTAAGGTGAAACTTAAGCAGACCTCTGTAAAATAGATATATCTGCAGAAAATATATTTTATAACAAAAAAAAATGTTTATAAGGTCAAGCCTATTTATTGATACCTCGTGGATCTTTGACAGACATTCTCCTAAGGAACAGCTATACTGACACTATTATGTTTATCTTCACCTGCTCAGAGGATTATAGTGTCAGATGATGGAATAAATCAGTAAGGAGCAAGTGAATCATAACATGAAGATGTCCTTACTGTAGCAGAAGGAAAAAATTCAGTATTGTTTCCACTGAGGCAACAACAGCTCTTCAAAAATTCCTATAGACATCACTGTCTGATGTAGCAGTGTACGCCAACATTTATTTCTGTGTTATTGGTTGATTACCTGGAGGAAAAATATTTTTGTATACTTATTTTAATTCCATTTAAAATCATGATTTTATTCAGCTGTTGGAAAGACTTTGCAAGGAACAGGAAATGTGCATTTATATAAGAGCAGACGATATGGACAGTTCCTGGGCAGGAACACTTTTGCGCTTTTGCACAAATACTTTCAGGCTGCTTTGAAAACAAGGAAATGTTATGAAAAAAAGGGTACAAGTTTTACAAAGGTTTTTATAAGCAGCCCGTTTTCTTTTTAGCTCTCGTTAAACTGAGACATTTTGACATAACGATAGCTTTGGTAACGCTACCTCCAGGCAACACAACGTGGTGAGGTGACAGTCACGTTCCGCAGTCCCAATGGTTGCATACGCAAAACTGGGGCCATAGGAACATGCACGACTAGTGAAAGCAAATGTAACCTGCTGTCTAACGTACTAACTCACCCTGTATACTCACTTTGTGCCTAAGTATTATAGCCTGAGGCTGAAAGGATTGGTGAAATAACCTTGGTCAGCATGCACTTCTGAAGCTTACTCATTTAACTTGTGCTTTTCATTAAATACAGGTAAGATGAGCTTTGCTAAGTTTGGATTCAACCAAATGCTTTTAAAATATAATTACTAATTTCAAAGTTAAACATATATGCATTTATATCCTGAGGTAGATCAGACCTGGGGCACTCATTTCTAAATGCGTAAACTGCTGGTCTAGAAAACCAATATAGAGCATAAAGACGGACGTATGAGAAACTTAGCACTATTGAGGGATGTTTGTGAATAGCAGGTGTTTAGAAGACAGTCAGGATGTTGAAACGGGGTCTGTGGAGCTCTGTGAGACTTTGCAGGCAGCTTGTGTTTTGGTCGTTTGCAATGCAGCTGCGTTTGCGTGCTGGTATAAGCTTTGTGATTTTACACTTTTTCACTCTTGAGTATTAAACAATCAAAATCAATGCAGATGTTTCTCTTTCTTCCCGACTGATGTTTTTAAGACTGTGGGGTCAAAGAAAAAGGAATCCAGGTTTAAAGTTAACTTGTTTTTGTGAGGCCTCTCAGATTGGTGAGTTCAGTTCGAAGAACGAACCAAATGCAGTGAACCTCTTTGGCCTCAGTAATAGAAATGATGCTGAAACGCAGCACGTTCCTTATCGCTGCTGCACGTAGCGTGGATGGACAAACAGTGGTTCTCCAGTCCGGCAGCTCCTTGCAGGAGGGGCAGGATACGTTACAGCAATGTGGACCTCCTGGAGCTGGGAACAGCGTCATTTCCCTCGGGATGTGACAGAGGCAAGTAACCCCTTAGCTTTTGCCCTTTTCAGTAACCTTTTGCCCCTTGACACGCATAAAGACCTTTTAATGCATGTTTAAATCTTAATGGAAAAGGTGGGTTTTTTTTGTGTGTTGTCCATTTTTTACAGTGCATTGGTATGTCCTGTTGAGTTTATTTTTCTCTTTCATCACACACTTCCTTTTTAATTAAGAAAGTATCAGGGCTTTAGCCCAGAATATGGGGAGTTTCCTGGTGATTCAGGAAGTGGGTTTTGCATGAGGGAATGAGGTTTTGTAGAGAGTTTTAATAAAGTGAGGAAAGATATTTAGATCTCCATTTGGTGCAGAAGGGTGGGGTGGAAAGGTACCTGAAACTACTGAAAAATCACAGCATGTTCTCAAGAGGGTTAAATAGTCAGCAAACAGTTTCCATTGAAACTGGCCTTTGTCAGAAAAGTGTTTTCTGCCTTCAGTCTACTAAATAAGCAAATATTACTGCTTAAAACATCAGCTGTGAAGATCTAGTTTCCCTGAAACTCAAGGCTGGTCTCTGAATAGTAAGGGATGGGTCTCCGTGGGCTGGAGTTGAACGCGCTGTCTAGGGTTTCCTTTCAGTTTCCTGTTCTTGACCCACTTGTCAGTTGTGCTAATATTTCAAAGATGCAATGAAAATATGCTTGGTCTCAATGTTAAATTCTTGGACACTTAATGAAACAAAAGCCACGGATATTCATTGATAGTCCAAATTTAATTAGTTTCAAAACTGAAACTCTTTTCCTGAAGTGTCCCTGCAACCCAGGGGGCTGGCACACAACAAACAAAGGAGAGCTTTTTGGCTAGGAAAATCTGTTTTCTGAGTGATGTTTTATTTAGCTATCATTTTTTATTGCAAACCACTGGTATTTTTATTTTTGATTTCCAAACATCACTTTGTGGTGGGTTGGTGTGGCTGCAACTTACAGCTGGAATCCAGCCTGCATTGTTCATACGTTCCCTTTTCAGGTGACACATTCACAGCACCCTAAAATCAGGCAGAATTTGCCACAAATTGTATATCTGCAATGGGAAAAGTAATCCATTATAATCAAAATGGCTCTGACAGTCTAAAATTGTTACTTCTAGCTTATTTTTGTAATGCATTCTGCAGTAGAAAAGCACCATAAATAGACTAGAAAATTAAAATCCAGAATAAGGAAAATGCTAATAAACAGACTCGCAATCCAGAAGCTTCTATGCTTGCTTCAATTTTACTTTCTTTTTACTTCTTTACTAAATTGCAGTGCATTTTTTTCCCACAAAAAGAAATGGAAGCAATGGCTAATGTGCTGAAAAGACCAAGAGTGGTTTAAAAGGAAGGGGTGTGTGTTTTTCTGTTTGCCTTTTTTTTTTTTTTTTTCCTCCCCTCTGTTTTCTCTGTTCGGGCAATAAATTGGGGGCTCTGAAAAATGGGGAAGTTATGTTATTAACAAGATGACATTTTTTCACTTAATATTGTAATACTTACAGTTGCATTTACAGAGTGTGCGTGCCTGCAAGATGTCCAGCTCTGGCTCTCTCCTATGGCTCTGCATAATGCAGCACTGCAAA